AAAAAAAAAAAAATTATCACAACTCAGTACTTTAGGAGCTGGCCGAATTAAGTTCCATTTCTAAAACCTTCAAGAAACCTTTTTAAAGAATGCCAAAGTGTATGTAAGAATTGCTACCTACACATTCAGTGTGCTGGTAATCTTAAAGTAAGCCTTAATTTCTCTGAAAATATAGTACCTGCCTCCAATGAAACCTTTCCTGACTTGTAGGCTGGGTCAAGGCTCAAACAAAAAACAAGCTTGTAATACAGAATTGCAGTCATTATAAACCTGAACTATTAAATGCTCATAATGACGGTAAAAAGTGTACAATAACAAGATACTCTGTCAGCAGAATTCATGAAGCTTGATTTCCACTGGATTTTTATCTATTATTCAACAGCATGGGAGCTCCGTTGTTCCAAATGGTGTTACCTTGTTTCCATACTAAATTAAATGTAGCAGATACCTATTGGTTAATAAATCTCACCTAACAAGCAATGGTCAATATTAAAAATAACAAACCAACAAACAAAACTTTAGTAAGCAGAGAGTGTTATATTGAGGTGTTCTTTATCATACCAGCTGCTTAGCAAAGTTATTTCTTATTCCTGTAGCTCTTCTCCTAACTGCTTCCCCCACTCCCCTAATAAAAGGATCATACCCTATTCCTGCTTCTATCCCAGTCCTCAGTGGAATTGTGTATGACTTTTCTTTTTCTAACAGAAACATGATTGCCACATAGCTGAGGAAATTACTTGTAGTTTAGCAAAATTCTAAATATTACAACAGAAATACACATGAGAATCTTCCTTAATTTTACTCAGCCTTGAACAATCGAGGTCCTGCCCATGCCTTTATGGAGAGGAGCTCTGCACCAGAGAATAACCAGAGTGTCTTTCACGAGGTCTTTACAACTCATTCTTTAGGCTCTGGTGAGGGTACACTCTTGGTGCTTGAAGGAAAGACTTCCATTTAGCAGAGGTGTATAGTCTTTCATTGTGAATCACATTTTTTTCTTTCAAAATTATCTGTGGTGTTGATGGGGATTATTTTTTTTTTAAACTTTTATAAGTGCTGCCCTGTAAACTAGTCTTTTCCTTGAATATGATGGGTTGGAAGCACATTTTTCCATTAACACCTGTGCATTACCTGCCATGTAGAATTTTCTGCTTGTCAAGGGTGCACATGTTGCTGCTGGTGTGCGGCCAGAAACCATCTGGTTCTTGTGTCGGGATTATGTTACATAAAAGTCACTTCAGGAGAATTTGTATAGTTCTCCAGCCAAAATTGCACCGAATTTTGTACTGAATGGGGATCTTTGCATTTTAGTTCTAAGCCTGACTGCTTCCAAAACAACTCCGTAACCTGCCCTACAGTGTTCTAATATAAATAATGCTGCAGATGACTCACTCCTCGCATGTGAGCATTCCAAGAAATTCCCTTTTCCCAAGCACTCAATGTGTCTAAACACTTACACAGAAGAACCTTCCAAGATGAAATGCTGCCACAGCCATGTGCAGCCTACTAACCAGAAATCTACTTTTCCCCCCTCTGCTCCTCCCCGTCTCCTCCAAATATACTTAACTTCAAGCAATGTTTTCTGGGTTTGGATTTGTTTTGTTGTTTTGTTGGGGTTTTTCTTCATAAGTTCTAATAGTCTTACTAGTCAAGGGCCTCAGTACTTGACAAGTCCTACTGATTTGGCTTAAATGTTTGGGGTTTTTTATTATTATTTGTTTTAAATAATAACCAAGTCAAAGCGTGCTGTAGCGTTGCCAAATTTGGAACTTTTAATGCACCCGGTTAACTTATGGCTGGACACATCCCGAAACGTTGGCCCTCGCCTCACAGGAAAGCCCGTGTGGTCACGGATCTTCACTTGGGAGGTTTATGGACCCCCCGGCTGTACCGTCACCCTGCACCTACCCTTTCTAGCACCAGGTGGGTGCAACTGTGCACAGATAAACGCTAAAAAGAGCACGTCTTCACCTGCCTCCAGACGCCGAGTCCTTGAGGGAGGGGGAATCCCTGAGGTGACACCCCCCGCCGGGCCCGCTCTCCTCAGCCCCCGCCGGAGGGGCTGCCGCTCCAGAGGCCCCGGGAAGCCACCGGGACACGCTCATCTTCCCCCTCCTCAGCCGAAACGGGATGGGGGAATGGGGAGCCCGGCCACGCTGCCCCCTCACAGCCTCTCCGAACTGCATTTCCCAGAGAGCTGGGGTCGAGGCACAAGCGTGGCCTGAGGGAGCGCCGGCGCCGGGCCTGCCGGGACGGGTAGTTCGTGTCCCGCCTCAGGCCTTGGCGCCAACTACATGTCCCGTCCCCCACCCCGCGGTCGGAGGCGGAGACGGCAGACGCGACAGGCGAGCGCAAAGGCTGACAGGAATTGTAGTTTCTTACCACGCAGGAAACGCAGGCAACTACATTTCCCATCTGTGCCGGGGGTGGGCCGAGAGGGGCTCACGCAAGGCATGATGGCCATCGTAGTTTTCGCGCCGTGGAGCGGTCGTGCCATGGGACGGGGCCCCGGGGAGCTAAAAACTACTAAAATGGCGGCAGGGGAGGCGGCGGGGAGGGGGTACGGGAGCTCCGGGAGGCCATACTGCGCTCGCGTCGGGGCGGCGGAGTACACGCGGAATCGCCGGAGCGAGTGCTGAGTCGGTGCCGCCGCCGGCTTCCCCCTTACCCCGGACGCTGGGAGACGCTTCGAGGCCGCAGAGGCTTGTGGGGCAGCCACAAAATGGAGGCGAACGGGAGCGGCAGCGGGAGCAGCAGCGACTCGGCTCCCGACTGCTGGGATCAGGCGGACATCGAGCCGGGCAGCGGCGCCGGCCCGGGGTCCGCCCCGCCGGCCGCGGAGGCCGAGGCCCAGCAGGAGCTGCTCGGGGCGGCCTTCAGCCGGCAGCTGAACGTCAACGCCAAGCCCTTCGTGCCCAACGTCCACGCCGCCGAGTTCGTGCCGTCCTTCCTGAGGGGAGGCCCGGCGCCCGGCCTGCCGCCACCCTCGCCCCCGCCCGGCCTGCCGCCGCCGCCGCCCCACGGTAACCGCCGCGCCGGGACGGGGCCGCGCGCCGGCGGGTGGGCGCTGAGGGCGGAGGGATGGGGGCCATGTTGGAAGGGCGCGGGGCCGTGCTGCCGAGGGGCCCGGGGTGAGGGCTGACGGGCCCCCGCGGGGG